ATAAATCTATTAAAAAAAAAAAACGGAGGAATAGCCTGATGAGGTTGTCCCAAGTTGACTGGCTCTATACTCGATATTTAGAACGATGCCGTTTGAAGAAGCGCATTGGCAAAAAGGGTGGATCACTCTCGACCGAAGCTCAGATCACCTCACTCTGTTTTGCGATTACTCTCTGTCGAACGTCAGATCACCTCGCTCCTTTCTTCTATTTCTCTCTTTCGAACCTCAGATCACCGTCCTCTCGTCGCCACCTTCGTCCTTCACTCCCTCCGTTCTTTGAGTTATCTCTCCATCGTCTTCATCCTTCAGCTCAGAACATTTAGTAGAAAAGGTTGCCACTTTCAGCCAAACGCTCTGGAGGTCTCTCCGTTTTCAGCGACCTACGGTAATTTCTTCAATCAATTTGCTAATTTCACTTTCAATATGTTTTGTACCATTCAGATCTGCCATTCAATTTGAATTTCTGATTTTCAATCAAATGCTATTTTATTTTTAGTTTAGCCCGACGCAGTCTGGATCTCTAATTTCAATTTCAATTTCAATTTTACCTTGACACTTGGTTTGTGAGAGTCCAGGTCTAAAATATTTAAAAGTTTTGTTAAAACCAGAGAGTTAGAAGTTGAAAATGGTCAAGCTAATGAATTCGATGCAATAAAACAGGTTTTGAAGTTTAACATTTTAGGTTTCTTTTTTCCCCGAAATTTATAACATTTTGGTTAAAAATTACAAATTATTGACTACAACCAAAGATAAATTTCTTTTGCAGCAAGAACTAATCATATGAAGAACTTTCTTCTTATCGTCCTTCGACCGTTGATAGAGTCACATGGTTCAGAGAGCATCTCTGTTGATCATGCTGTGCAGCGGACTCTGCATCTGATGCATTATTCTGTCTTAGAATGAAAGCAGGTTGTTTTGGACGAGGAAGATCCACAATTTCACTGTTAAGCATTGAAATGACTGTGGACATCTTAGGTCTATCTTTCGCAAATTCTTGCACGCACAGCAATCCCACATGTATGCACCTTAGAACCTCTTCATCATGGGATGGATCAGCGACCATGTTATCAACCAAAGCCAAAATGTTGCCTTCATTCCACAATTTCCAAGCCTGGAAAGGGCAAAGGTTAGCTTCAAAATGGGCGGGAAAGAAAGGCCAATTAAACACAAGGCTGATGAAGGAAAGAGCTTAACTTACATATCCCACAAGGCTTAAATGTTCATCATTGTAAAAACCGCTGTTTCTTCTCCCACTTACAATCTCTAACAGTAAAACACCATAGCTATATACGTCGGATTTCTCTGAAAATAGTCCTTCCATCGCATATTCAGGGGGCATATAGCCGCTACATTAAACATCAAACGAAAACCATCATTGTTCAAGCATTTATGGTGATGTTATTGGTTTGAGAAGCTTTTTGGTGTGAGAAATGTGTACTGACTATGTTCCAACAACCCTTTTGGTATTGGCTTGATCTTCACTATCTCCAAAAATCCTTGCCAACCCAAAATCTGAAATTCTTGGTTGTAACTTTTCATCTAGCAATATATTACTTGCCTTTAAATCTCTATGAATAATGCGTAGTCTAGAATGTCGGTGTAAATAAATGAGACCTTGACTTATTCCTTCAATAATGTTGAAACGTTTCCTCCAATCTAAGAGTTCTTTCTTGAGCAAATCTATATGGAAGATGGAAATGTTAAAAATAGAAGAAAAAGACTAAGGATCATTATCATCAGAAATGAATGTTACAGACATTGAAAACAATCCTTATACTGTTCTACTTTGGCCCTTAATTGCGATTTAAATTTTGATTTTGGGTTATATATATATATATATATATATATATGTATATTAAAACATAACCTTATTTGCATTGAATAACCAAAAAAGAAAAGGAGAATGAGTCATGCTCTAACCGAACAAAAATGTGTCCAGGCTGTTGTTTGGCATGTACTCGTAGACCAAAATCTTCTCTTCTCCCTCAACACAACATCCTAGGAGTCTTACAAGATTTCGGTGTTGGAGATTGGAGATGACCAACACTTCGTTCTTAAATTCGTCTACTCCTTGCCCTGATGCCCTTGACAGTCTCTTTACCGCTATTTCCTGCCCATTTTGCAATGTTCCCTAGAAAAGGGAAAATAGGTTAGTAAAGATTTCATTTCATTTGACATACTATATATCAAAACTTTGCAGCTAGAAACTAACATTTACCCTATATACAGAACCAAAACCTCCCTGTCCTAGCAGATTTGTCGAATTAAAGTTGTTTGTTGAGGTTGCCAATTCCACAAATTTGAATAATGGCACCTCTCGGAGTTCAACCTTGCTTGTGCTGGTTTTCCCTTTAACAAACAACAATATATCTTCAGTGTTCTCGTTCCTCACTGAATAAAAATGGAGTAAATGTTGCATTAACAGTTACTTAGGGTACATTTAAGATTGCAGTTAGAAGCCTTTTCTCATAACCATATAGTGCTTTTAAATATATATGTATTTGTTAATTTTTTTCGGACTATTTTTTTTCAAAACTTATAAAAAGTCACAATATATCGATTATAGTTTTATATATAAAATTAAAAATTTCATTTTGAAATTTTCTAACTATGGTTTTCATAAACAACATGTAATATTTAATACAATTACAAAATTACTCATTATATCCAATATAATTTAATTCAATTGCATCATAATTTATAATATTTTATTTAACTTTAACCTCTTTGTTTGTTTGTAAATTTTATAAAAAATTAAAAATTCACTCATTTCTTATCTAATTAAAAATGCATCTCCTCACTGTGTTCTTCAGCTTCATTTATACCTGTCTCGACAATGCGCCTTTGATTTGGGCCTTGAGAATTTCTTGACAGAATCTCTCCACTTGCTCCTCCCCCTGTGTGAAAAATCAGCAACACTGTAGATCTAACTTGCAAAAGCCCCTTTGTGTGTGCGTGTTTATGTTCAAATTTCACCCATAGGAAAAATGAAAAAGGGGGAATAAAACAAAAAAAGAGGCTATTTGCATCTACCTTTCAGTCCTTTCCTGCAGAATGAAAAACATAAGAAGCCAGCAAGAATGAATGCAAGGGCAGCTGCTAGTGATGATACAGAGATGATCACAACCTTCTTTGTCCTTCTTTCCCCATTCCCTGCTAGTACATATATTACAATAAACAATCACAAATTTTCTTTTAGAAGAGTTTAGTTTGGAAAATTAATTTGGTCATTCAAAAAATTTGTCCTAATTTAGTACTAACCTCTATCGGGCGTGGGAGGTGCTGCAGGAGCAGGTTGTGGTGCTGCAGGAGCAGGTTGTGGTGCTCCTGAATAGAAAACGTATTCGTCAAATCTTGCAAGGCAACTTGGGGTTAAGAAGCGCCACCCTGCCCACCCCAGGCAACAACTCGGGAGTTGATCAGTTATTTCCTTCAAACAAGAGTAACACGAACTTCTATTGAGATCTCTTGTGCACTGCACCAGGACATATATATTCCGAGACACATTACTAGGTACAACTCCTTCCTGGGTCCCATAAAGCTTTGATGAGTTCTGAGCAGCTCGCTCAATCGCTTCCTTTAGCAAATTAAGTACCGCCGAGTCGTCTTCAGGTGAAGTATTGTCTTCTAGATTCCTCATATAGATATAGGAGTCTGGGTCAAAAGTTATTTCACCGAAGAAATCGGTATTCGAGTAGCGTAACAGGCATTTTTCATACCAGATGACTCCACCTCGATAAGAAGAGCAAGTTTTTGGCAGATCTACGCTGGCATGATTGATGCAACTTTGGCAAGTGCTACTATCAACATCACCTCTGCAGAGAAACAGGCCATAGACACCTCTAAAAGAATCATTGTAGAAGGTATATTGGGAAGATTTGGAGGAAAAAACTTCCATCAGGGCTTGAACGTCAGATTGATAATTTGTTGAGGTATTAAATTTATCAAAACATTTGGGCGAAATCGAGGGTGATTCGCAAGTGATGAATCCGAAATTCAGCACAAAGATTGTGATAAAAAACAGAAGAAAAGGTTTGAATTTCTGAAGAAGAGAAATCATCATTTCCGTGATACAATGGAAAAGGGGGGCAATGAGACTGAAGATATATGAATTGCCAGGATATTTGGTCTTTCGTACTCTGGAAACGGAGGAAGCTTAAGACTACAAAGATTTTGCTCAAAGGAAATATGGAGAGAAAACAGAGAGAATAAAAATGAGCGGAGCAGAAAGTTAGCCCTACTACAATTCTAAAATCTAATAGAAGGTTAACAGAAAGTTACTTAACCAAAGCTTATATTACATCAAGAGACAATAATTAAATTGTTGTCGCTTGTAATAGCATAAGAACTTCAAAAACTAAAAAAGGAAAAAAACTGAACTCGCATTAAACTTCATTAACTATTTGATAGTTGCATTAAATGTTAAATTATAATATAATAATATAATAATATTATAATTTATCATCTCTTATTTTAAATTATACTTGTTAAAAAAAATTAAATTTTTAATTTGGTCCTTGAACTACTGTACGAATTCTTGATTTGGTCCATATTATTTATCAATTTGTCCTAAGTTGGTCTTTCTATACAAAAACAGTTGATTATACTTGTTAAAAAAAATTAAAATTTTAATTTGGTCCTTGAACTACTGTACAAATCCCTGATTTGGTCCATATTATTTATCAATTTGTCCTAAGTTGGTCTTTCTATACAAAAACAGTTGACGTGTCTCGTTATTAATGTGATACGTGACCGTTAAGTTACTGTTTTTTGTCATTAAATACTAGACACGTCAGCTTTTTTTTATATGAAAGGATTAATTTGGGGTAAATTGGTAAATAGTAAGAATTAAATCGGGGTCTATATAATAATTTAGAGATCAAATCATGAATTTTTTTAGTTTAGTGACCAAATTGGAGGTTTGTATAAAACTTTAGGGACCAAATTGGAAATTTAACCAAAAAAAAACTAAACTAAACTTCATTCATGAAAGACAAAGTCGAAGACTTGGGGACCATGTCGTCAGCCACGTAAAGCATAGCACAGCTTTTGGACTTTTTCTCGGCCTCTGAAGTCTGCAATTTAAGCTCCTTGCCTTTTATTAGATTACTAGGTTATCGTACAATAGCTTTTGGACTTTTATTACAAACGAAGAAAATGCGTTGTAGAATAGCTTTTGGACTTTTGTTACAAACGAAGAAAATGCGTTGTAGAATAGCTTTTGGACTTTTGTTACAAACGAAGAAAATGGGTCTGACCGCTTAGGAAAAAACAAAAAGGTAAATTGCAATTTAAAGTATATAAAAATTTTATATTTTAAATAAAAAGAAAAATTATCCTATGACCAAGAGACTTGAGAGTCTAGCTCCGAAGTAAATGACTAAATTTGAGAGTCTAGCCTTGCAAAACTAAAGAC